GCCTGCTCACAAACTGGATATGTGTTCAAGAATGGAGATACAACAATCTCATGGCGCTCAACAAAGCAAACATTAGTTGCTACATCTTCAAATCATTCAGAAATACTTGCTTTACATGAAGCAAGTCGTGAATGTTCTTGGTTAAGATCAATGATCCATCATATTCGAAATTCATGTGGTCTACCTTCAAAGTCAGACACTCTAACTGTCATTCATAAAGATAATGCAGCCTGTGTTGCCCAAATGAAGGAAGGATTCATCAATGGCGATAAGACTAAACACATATCTCCCAAGTTTTTCAGTGCACATGAGCTTCAGAAGGCTAAAGTTATTAAAGTCAGACAAATCCATTCCAATGAAAATCTGGCAAACTTGTTCACCAAATCTCTACCAAAATGCATGTTTCAGAAGATAGTGCAAAGTATCGGATTACGTCAACTTACCAATCAGATAAATTTGGAGAATGCAGAATCAGAGGGAGCATCCATGATACATGCACGTTGTACTCTTTTTCCTTTGATTAGGATTTTTCCCATTGAGTTTTTCCTATCAAGGTTTTAACAAGACAACATAAGCATAACAATCCAAGTAAAGTTATACTCTTTTTCCTTTGCTATGGTTTTTTTCCTACTGATGTTGATATGTGGGTATCTAAGGGGGAGTGTTGAAAATGCTAGTGGGTAATGAATACCCACAATAATATTGAAATCCTTGGCAGATGAATGTGGACTTGGAAATGAAGGGGATTATTTGTCAAAAGGTATGTTGTAAATTTTCAACATGTAATAATATGGAGTTGCTCTATAAATAGAGCACTCTGACTGCTATCAACATATATAGAGAAGAGAAAGAAAGGAAGAATAAATAACATCAGTTTCAATTCCTTCACTTTTATTAGTCATTCCCTTATGTTACAATTATAGTGTGATATTTTACACTCATTTCGTTCTTGTCACCAGTAAAGATTATCTCTCTAACTTTTACCTATTTATAACAAATTACTTATTTAGTGAAACCAGGAGTGACCCAAGTGATGGTTACGTAACTCATAATATATACACACCCATTTCGTTCAACCAACACTGTGTAGACTATTTTCACACACAAAAAGGATAAGATCCATATCTTATAATCCACCTATTTTCACAATGACGTGTCCGTCCAGAGATGAACATTATTATTATTATAATGATTCCATCATCATCCTTCACTGAATTTCTTGAAGGTTATGTGGAAGTAGTTAGTTGAAAAGCTTTCTTGAAGGTCTCTCACTTGAACTTGAATGGTAGGTGATATATACAGATTACAGATCAAAAGAAAAGGTTGGCCACTTTCTTGGGAGAGAAGCAAAATACAATTGTGTGCGCTATGATAATACCTATAGTTTAATTCGTAGTTAAAAGTCACATCAAACACATAATTTGCGTGTTGTTGTTCCAATCTCTAGAATCAGTATTCTTGCTCTTTATCATATTTTTTTCTTCCACCCGGATACTAGATTATGCACTAATAATGACTAAGATATTGAATTAAGTTTAAGTTAATTCTGCTTTAATGTAACATCTCACATGGGAGTAGATTCTGTAAGCTTTATATGTATATTCTCATCTCTACCTAGCACGATGCCTTTTGGGAGCTCACTGGATGTGGTTGGGGGCCAAAACGGATAATATCGTGCTACGCTGGAGTCGAGCCCGAAATATGATGAGGACCCAGGTTAGGATGTGACATTTAATTTCTTTCTTTTTTTCCCTTTCGGATCAACCAAACAGAATACGATACTATGGGTGCTGATCTCACGTAAAAACAAAGGCAAATGTCTCTTTCTTTTTTCTTTTAATTTTTTAATCAAACATAAATGATTGGAAGCCCATAGTATTTGTATTCTGTTTGGTTGATCCGAATGGGGAAAAAGAAACAAATTAAAGCAGAATTAGCTTAAACTTAATTCAATATCTTCATCATTATTAGTGCATAATCTAATATCCGGGTGGAAGAAAAAAATAGGATAAAGAGAAAGAATAGTGATAATTAACGGTTCTAGATGTTGGAATCACACCACGCAAATTATGTATTTGTTGTGACTTTAAACTACAATTAAACCCGTGCGTGCAATTGTAATTTGTCAAGATTACATGACGGATATAGGGTTTGGAAAGTACTTAATTAACTAAGAATTATTTGTCTTCTCAGAGCTTCTAAATCAAAATGAATTTTGGCCCAGTTGTTTTATTCAGCAGAGTCACAAAGCCATTTTTCCCTGTATATAAAAATATAGGCAGACATGGGAGGGAATAAAACACAAAATCGTGTATGCAAAAATATATAAGTTCTTAATTAACCACTTTAAGTTGCAAAGAGTTTGTAACACAGTTAGTTAAGAGCATTAACCTTTGCACTCAAAGTCTTGATTTAATTTTCCTCACCCTAGCTAATATTGTTGTATAAAAACCACTTAAACTATACAAGCGTGACTACGTACTAATTAATAGATGTACGTCATGTTCCTTGCCCCAAAAGACTTAGCTGTGACAACTAGCCCTATTGCATTCTAAATACAATTGGTACTGAAACTTACAAATTAAGATGAATTGTCGATTTAGTTTTTAAATTATTACTCGAGCGAAAAATTAGGTCCTTGAATTACTTTTTCAGAAAAATAAGTCTCTAAACTCATTACAAACAACCAATTTTATCCTTGCTGTAAGATTTTAAGCTTTTTCAATTTTCTGTTCACTTAAGTAATGTAACTTGTACATGACATATCTAAAAGGGTAAAATCGTTGTTTTTTATGCCATGCTCTGGAGTTGTTCTTTAGGGTAACCAGAACCCTTTGACGAAAGAAAAGAAACAGCTCCGCTCCATTCCTCTAGGTGCGCTGCGCTTTAAGATGATGTTGGGAAGATTGAAGGAATTGATTCAAATTTTTGCTGATAAATTCTCAAACAGTGACGAATCTTGACGAATTTTCAACGTTGGTTGAACAAGGAGATGTCTGATGGGGAGCCTCCATGTTACAGTAAATCACTTTTCATCTAATTTGTTTCATCAAATGAATTTTTAACAATTGTACATGAGTAATTAATAAAAAAAATCCATTTATGTTGTCCCTTTCTGTGTCTGCATAGATTCCTTCACTGTAATGGGATTTAGTACAATAAAATTGGTGTTTGTTATTGAAGAGTTGAAATTATATATTTTCATGAAATTTTCTTTGTAATGGCCAAATCGAAAACCCTTAATGTTTATATAAAAGATTCCCCAACTAAAAAAGTTGCAAATTAGGCTTTAAAATTTTCAAAACCGGGGAAAATTTGAGCAGGAAAAATGGGGAGACGGATGTTTCTCCCAGTTGTGTTTCATGAGCGATGAAATGGTAATTTTAACCTTCAAATTCTGTCATGTGTTGGTTACATAAACTAAATTAACAGAAAATTAGATGGAAAAGTTTGAAATCTAACGACAAGAATGAAACTGGCTCTTTGTAATGAGTTGAGACTTGTTTTTCTAAAAAAATAATTCAGGAATAATTTAAGGACTAAATCGACAATTCACCTTACAAAATATAACCATACAACAAATGCAATTAATAGAGAGCTGCTAGACCCACCATATTGTCTTATTTCTCCACCCATGTTATAATTTCACCCAACCATAAAAAGTTAAAATATTGAAATATTATTTTCTCACCTATTATTATTCCTAAACTAACCACTAATATATCTAAAATTGTAAACTTGTCTCTTAGGAGAAAGAGAATAACTTCTTTGCCCGATTCCACAATTGTAACGTCACAATAACAAAACCATTGACCTTCCCAACTTCTCGAGCCCATTATATTAATTCTTCTTTGCCCTTGAATAATTACATACCAAAATTTCACATTATGAATAAAAATACAAGAGTATAATTTTTCACACAAAACACTAAGAACCTTATAAGAAATGCGAAGGAAAACAATAGCTGCATAGAAAATCTAAAAATGATATCACGGGGATGGAGAGGAAGTTATTGGACTAGAGAAAGATAGGTTTTTCAATGTTATAAATGAGAAATATGAGAACATAAAAAATTTCCAAGTAATGGCATCGTCATTAGAGCAAGACCTGACAAGTGCATTTATATTGTTTTTCTTAGAACTTCTCAGAAGTTGTAGAAAATCTAGTTACAATTGAAAAGCTTACTGAAGATTTGAAGAAGGCCAAGCATATGACAGAGCTAGAGATTGAAGAAAGGAACAAGAGAATTGTTGATTTGGATAAGAAACATCTGTTTTGTGGAAAAGTATGACTAAGTCTGCAGGAAGCCATGTTTACTGAAAACCGACAAGCAGAGGAACTTCAAATCTTCAAGCATTATTGGAAGCAAACAAAACTGGACAATTATAAACTTGGAACCATCCAAACAACCAAAATTTCACATCATGAATAAACACCAAAATCTTTCAATTGAGTAGGAAGCAAAAATCTCTTTACGAGCTGCTAGTGGTATAGATGTGGCTATGAAATTATTATTATATATTAAGGTTCTTATCAGTCATTTTATAAATAGGCAAAATTGTATTAAATTTTTTATTATAAAGGTGAGTGAGGAGATAAGACGTTGAGGTGGGAATAACAGTTCTCTTTATTTATATTATTTGGTTAATACAACCAGTTCAATTTAGTTTCCTATTACCCCAGTCCATTTCTGATCTCTTCCCTCTGAGGTAGAGACTAAATGGTATCATTTTCTTTTAATTATAATTTTTGTAACATTTTTATAAGAAAGCTATCATTTTTTTTTCTATAGACTATTCTAACCTAATCAGTTATTTAGTGACATTTAGGAGAGAAAATAAAGCAAGGAAGTCTATCGTCTATCAGATAATGATCAAATGGTTCACACCCAACCAACTAAACCCTTTTTCATATCAATTCACTTGGCGTACAGGAAACTCCAACCAAATTTGGATTTGAACCATTTTAGTGTGCCCCAAACATCATATAAAAACACATGTTCAAGTCCAATATCTTCCATATATCCACCACCACCATTTACTACCACAAGTACTACACTTGGACTTCTGCTTAAGCAACTTATTTGAGCACTAGATACCAGCAGCTTCCATGGGAACCACGGATAAGCCAGCTGACCCGGAAACCGCCACCAAGGTAGTCCTACCGCCATCAAAGGAGGAGTCCGAAGCCACGCCTCCTCCCCCTAAACCCGACTACCTCTTTCTAGCTGATGTGGCTCTCAGGTTCTTAGTGTTCGCAGCATCCCTGACAAGTGTGTTGGTCATGGTCACTAGCAAGCAAACAGTATTCCGAGGTCCTTTCCCAGTTAAGGCCAAGTTTAATCACTCTCCTGCCTTCATGTGAGTAACTTCAAGCACCCAAACATGCACATATAATTTAGTAAAATAACTTATATGTGTTTATATATATATAGTTGGAGATAAAGGTTTCAAGGTGTTTGATTAATCTTCTTTGGCACAGAAAACACTCTTGGTGCCCTCTAATTAATTCTATTAAAAGTTCAATAAATATTCTCTCCAGGAGAATCGAATAAACGAAATTTCTTGATAGACAAGGAATAACTAAAATTTTCTTTCATGTTATATACTTCTGATCGAATATGATACCTACTATTGTCCAACTTTTTTCTACACTCTGAATAGTTTTACCCGATCTGTATATTGACAAATCCGGGTTTAATACGAATCGACTTTTATCTCCACACTCTGAATAGTTTTACCCGATCTGTATATTGACAAATCCGGGTTTAATACGAATCGACTTTTATCTCCATGATTAATTTAATCAGTTTAATTAGCGGATGAGCTAGATTAAGTTATATCAGTAGAACAGTAAAATACTCATGATTAAATTTGTATTTGTATGTGTATGTGTTTTTCTCCGTTGCTAGTAGCTAGGAACATGTATTTGTTTGTATATATAGGAAGTATTTCATGGTAGATCTTTTAGTGTTTAATCAATCTAATTAATCTTACTTTTCCTTCCTTTAACATGGTCATGGATTCCGTCCAATCTTCTTTTTGTGTGCAAAAGAATATTTTTTTTTAATTAGAACGTAGATCTTTTATTTATTTTTTAATATATAATATATCTTCTTAGACTTAGAGTAAGGGATTTACACTTGTGAATATGGAACAGAGACGCCTATTCCAAACTTATCACGCGTAACTAAATATTTTAATTTTTTAAAAATAATGTCGCATAATTGGTTTGAGACGCTCATTGAGCTTTTTCCTAGAGGCATAATAATTATATGGCATCAAGTTGAAGTTGCAACCCCGTCCATGTCACAATACAATTTCATAATAATCTAGGGATAGCATGGACCAAAAACGCAACAATTTCTTCATAACAAAATTGGGTCATCTAATTTCTCAATCAGTAGTGGTTTCCACTAGGAGAAAACATTGCATTATTTGCATACAACCATAATCAATCATGTGGCAAACATAAACTATCATTATTCTAACACAGGTAGAGTCTACATGTATTAGAAAGTGTGTCCAAATAATTTTGTTGTATTCTAATTATTCACAAAAGATTACATGTGAATATCTCATCACAAAACATTTACCTAGGTTTCATGTTTCTTGTTTTAGATACTTTGTGGCGGCTTTATCGGTTGCAGGCCTCTATGCTCTTCTTACAACACTAGCATCCATTTCAGTAATCTGGAAGCCAATTTGCCCACCAAAGTTGTTGCTCCATTTTGCATTTCTTGATGTGGTAAGTTGTGGTTTGCTCTCTAATTTGTACCAACAGGTGCAATACAAACATCGGACACACAGGATTGACAAATTATATGTGTGAATGCCATATTATGCAGCTGATACTCGGTTTGGTTGCCTCAGCCACGGGCACAGCCGGGGCTGTTGCTTATATCGGATACAAGGGTAATGAACATGTGATGTGGCAGAAGGTGTGCTCGGCTTTTGACAAGTACTGTAAGCACATAGCAGGCTCCCTCGCTACCTCGCTGTTAGCCTCAGTCTTGCTGGTTCTTCTGGTCTGGCTCTCAACTTTCACCCTTCACAAAAAAATTCGCCAAGATTGAAGAAGATAACTAAATGTATTAGAATCCTACCCACATTATGCCTTCAACTAGTGTGTGTGCGTGCCTTATCGAACCTTAGTGTTTGCATATGTGTATGTTTCGAGGTTCTTTTATTGTGTAAATGTTGTCTACCGTATGGTATATCTTGTCTCTGATTTGTCTTGTATTGTTTCTAAGACCTATGGTGGAAGCTTAGAATTTGGATTTCTTATTTTACAGGTTCTTTTAAATTGTAAATGTTATCTACTTGCAGTCTAAGGTATTGATTCATGTTGTATCGTTGCATTCACGTGTTCTCTATGTGCAAACGAATGAGAATTATTTGCTGTTGCAAATGCAGACCAGTTACTGATGTATTAACATAACAAAATCACAAAGGAATTACGACATGTTTTCCATCTTCTTCGATATGCAAAGAAAGCGAATGCAAAAGTATGTAGCGATCGTGGAGGATTGAACTGCATTGGATACGCTGTATTTGTGCGTGTGTTTTTCTCCCTGGCTAAGAACATGTATCGGAAGGATTTTATGGTAGATCTTTTAGTTTTTAATTAATCTTTACTTTTCCTTCCTTTAACATGGATTCCGTCTAATCTTCTTTTCTTTAGCAGAAGAAACAATTTTTTAGAAAGTAGAATCTGACTTTATCTTTGATCACTGTACAACCGATCTCACCCTGGCGTTCTAATCTGATTTAATCTAAATTTAGTACTCTTTTCTTTTTCTTTTATATTTTTAATATATAATATATCTTCTTGGACTTAGAGCAAGGTGTACTTAAACTTGTGAAATGGACTTGAACAAATGAAGATGCAAAGTTGATAATGTCTCAAACTTATCACGCGTTGCTACGTATTCAATTTTTTTTTATAAATAAAATCGCATGATTGGTTTGAAACGCTACCAGCGAGCCTTTCTAGAAGCATAATAATTAAATGGCATCAAGTTGAATTTGCAACCCCATGCATGTCACTCACCCCACAATACAATTTTCTAATAATCTTAGGGGTAGCATGGATCAAACATGCAACAATTTCTTCATAACAAAATTGGGGCATCTAATTTATCAATTAGTTGTGGTCTCCACAAGGAGAGAACATTGCATTATTTGCATACAACCACAATCAATCATTTGGCAAACATAAACTATCATCGTTTACCAGAAAAAAAAAAAAAAAAAAAAAAAAAAAAAAAACCTATCATTATCTTGTTCACATGTACTAGAAAGTGTGGCAGAAACAGTTACAGGAAGTCTGTCCAAATAAATTTATCGTATTCTAGTTATTCACAAAAGACTACATGTGGATATCTCATCACAAAGCATTACCAAGGTTTAATGTTTCTTGTTTTAGATACTTTGTGGTGGCTCTATCAGTTGCAGGCCTCTAAGCTCTTCTTACAACACTAGCATCCATTTCAGTCATCTGGAAGCCAATTTTCCCACCAAAGTTGTTGCTCCATTTTGCATTTCTTGATGTGGTAAGTTGTGTTTTGTTCCCTAATTTGTATCAACCATTGCAATACAAACATCGGACACACATGATTGACAGACTATATGAATGCCTTATTATGCAGCTGATACTCGGTTTGGTTGCCTATTTGCAGTCTAAGGTATTGATTCGTCTTGTATCGTTACATTCACGTGTTCTCTTCTCTAAAGTGCAAACGAATGATAATTAGTTGCTGTTGCAAATGCAGACCTGTTTCCTGGGTTTTTACTGATGTATTAACATAACAAAATCACAAAGGAATTACGACATGGTTTCCATCTTCTTCAATATGCAAAGAAAGTGAATGCAAATGTATGTAGCGATTGTGGAGATTTGAACTGCATTGGATACGCTATATTGGGAAGGAACCCACACAACCAACTTAAGTAACCAATCTGATGATATATTGATGCAACTGAAGTATCAGTTAAGTATCTCACAACAATGCTAGAAAAATGAATAGCTTGTCACCGATATGAAACACAGTTCGGTGTACAGATGAGAAACTGCATACCTGAAAGAAGACTATTGTACAAAACTTGTTTAACCAACTGAGAAACTGAATGTAGAAACTTTTTAATCACGCCACAAATTCTTAGAAAATCGTTTGTTCGCCTAATTCCTGACCGGCCATCCCCTCCCTCAGCACTGTCTCAAAGAATTCTTCCAATGTGTCTTTGCCATAACTTGGCGTTTTCTCAGCATTGTATTCTCCCGTCTCAGGATCCAAAACCAACATACTCTCAGCTGCATAATACCTTCCAATCTTCCCGAACTCAGCAGTATCTTCCATTGAAGGAAATACCCTTACAAGGAAATCGAGAACCCCAATAGCAAAGTCCATAATTTCAATTGGCACCTTCAAGAACTTGGGTTCCCTTCCCACAAGTCTAAACAGCAACTCCCCTTGCTCCAAGGGCGTTAACGCCTTACCCGGTCCTCCGATAGGCAAAACCTGGTTAATCTTGTTCTCACTCAACACACAATCCGCAATAAACGAAGCCAAATCCGCCTCGCTGATTGGCTTGCAAGCACACAACTTCCCATCTCCAAACATCACATAAGGCTTGCCATCTTTCACCAACTCAACCTGACCACCCAAGCTCTTAAAAAACGCGGTCGGCCTTACAATGCTATAACTAAACCCATTATCCTCCTCAGCTTCTCTAATTAACTGTGACTCGAATTTCAGCTTCGCACGCTGGAACTCAAGGAGGGGCTTCTGCACACAAATTGCAGAAAGCAACACAAAATGTGAAGCCCCACGCTTCCTACCGGCAACAAGACTGTTTTTCGTGGCCTCGTAATCAATCTTCCAAGAGTCCTTCACACCCCCAGAACGGCTAGCAAGGCATGAAACAACAACATCAATCGAAACCCCCAAATCTTCCAAACATTTATCGAAAACACCCAAATCGGTCACATCCGAAAAGCACACATTTGCACCTTTCAACTCCTTCAGAGTCTCATCCTTGCTAACTTTACCCCGAATTCCACTATTCTCCCTAGCAATGGCTATAACATTGAACTCTCTGTTAACCAACTCCTTAACTACAAATTTCCCAATGTACCCAGTTGCACCCACCACCAAAATGTTGATGTCTTTTGGGTTTTTGCGGCGGAACGATGGTGGATTGGTGATTTCAGCAACTGGGTTCGATGAAGCTGATATGGGTTTCAATATATCTGTTCTAAAATTCAAAACTTCAGATAAGTTTACTGGACAAGATGGTGAAAAACCAGAAAGAACAGAGCTTACCTTGCTGGTTTGGTGGGTGAACTGAGAAGAGAAACGGGTTATGAAGCTTTGGTTCTTTGCGGAATGGAGATTGAATACAAGGGAGGAGAAGCACAGTGACATTGTTTTTCTGGTTCGAGTTGAAGAAACTTGAAGGGGGAGGAGGAGCTTGTGGTTTGATTTCAGTGGAATTCCATGACTGTTTTGGAGGTTAAACTCTATCGGAGGAGGATCCAAATGGTAGGTGGATATAGAAGATGACGTGTAAAGTAATGAACTATTTGAGGGCTGGACTGGGCTGGTTTGGTAACCGAACACAAAGGCCCAAACCGGTTTCTGATCAACGGCAGGGGTGGGTAAACGGGTCGAGGAATCGCGGGTTGGGGCGGGTAAGCTAGATTCGGGGAGGGTATGGATCGGTTCCAAATGTTTTAAAAACTAAATGGGGCAGGGTGGGGTGGGCCCATGTCATTTACGGGCGGACCGAGTCCTAAACCCCAGAAAAACGGGGCTCTGGACGTCCTTGTTTCTAATTATAATCAACGGTCGAGATTGAATGATAACCTATCATCCAAGTTGAACCGTTAATCTCTAACCTAGTCATCCCGAGTCCCAGAATCAGTCTCACACTCTCACTCCCACTTCTCCACCATCTGTCACTCCCTCGACTCCCTCAACTTCGATGACATCACAGAGAACCCAAACCATCATCACCGTTGCGACCACTATAAACTCATCACAGACGACTTCCCAGAACCCAGAGAACATAGGTCCCAGAACCTTAATTCTCTCCTCTTCGACAACACCATTCCCGTCGCGACTATCATCACCCTATCACCGACGTCGAGGACACTATTACCAGCCTAGATTCTTTTACTTGGTTGGCTACTGTAAGTCTACTTTTTGAAAATTGAACTGCTACCAGCCTCGACGACACTGCTACCATAATTATGCCCAATATATTTTAAAATTTAATATAATTTTTCTGAATTTTATTTTTGTTGATGCGGAGGATCAGTAGCATGAATAATGGGATTTGATTAGAGACTAAATCTTTAAGTGGGAGTAATTTGATGAATGCATGAACATTTGGGTGAAGGAATTGTGGATCTATTTGGAAGGGAGTGGGATTTGGGATTTGTGTTGGGATTTGGAGTGTTTGGTTATTGATGAAGAAACCCTAGAAACGAAAAGCTAAGTCAGCTGATTGGGATTGGGATTGGGATTTCAATCTGAGTAGGTAATTTTGAATTTAATTGGATCAAGAATTGCGTTATCAGATTTGGGTTTTTTTTAAATTTTATTTTATTTTATTTATTTATTGGTCAAGGGAATATTTTATTGCAACCAAGCACAAACTTACAAACATATAAAGGCCCAACAACACCTAGAAACAACAAAAAAGAGCCTAAACAGAAACAGAAACTGAGCCCAAAAGCCCAAGAACAAAAAAACAACCGAGAAACACCCATAACATTCTCCACCATCAATCTAAGGGGCTTCTAGCCAACCAATTCGCCGACCACCGCCAATTATCTCCTTCACTGACGCATCATGCGCACAGCCATAAGCAAGGGGTAATCGGCATCCAAGCGAAAAAGGCCAATCACCAAGTTGAAGCTCAGAAAAATTCCTGAGCAAAACTGCCGAAACCGGTAGACACCAAGGAGAACGTGGTGGTGTTGGAGACACCCGATTTAGAGATAGCGCCATAACTCTACACACGAACTCCACAAAGGACATGGCTGAAAAACAAAACAAGGATGAACCAGAAAGAAGATTACCCATGGAGGTTGATGAATCGAATAAGCCGAATTGAAAATTGGGGAGAACCAACTATGGATGCATGGAGAAGAGAAGGAGAAAAGGGAGAAGAGGACACAACAATTGACCCCAGCCGAAGCTAGGGCCGGTGCCATAGGAATTGCTTGAAACTGAAGGTCTCACAGACGCAGTGAAAAAGAATCTCACACCAGAGAGAAGAACTCTCACTTCGAAGAGAAAGTGTTACTTTATATTGAGTTTTTTTCTTCTTCTTGTTTTTGTTAGGGTTTCGTGTATGCTTATTTTGCTAGGTTGTATATATGTAAATTATGCTTATTTGACCATGTGCTTATATGTAAATTATGCTTATTTGAAGCGATAGAAAATTTCATTGATCATAACAAACAAATACAACCAATATTACATTGAGGTGCCAGATGAATATTGATAGGAGCATATTTATGCGACTTAAATGGCTTGTTCTCGTACATTTACGTTATGTTTCTTTAGTTATTTTAGTTCTTTATGCTTCTTTTGTGTGTTTTCAGGTTCTAAGGGCAAAGTATGCAAAAGGATGCCTTTTGGAGCCTTTTGGAGCAAATTAGAGATTGGAATGGATATCATATGCTTGGAGCCAAAAGGATGGACGAAATTGAAGACTTGAAGTAGGAAAGTTAAATCCTAAAAAGACCTCATGTTTGAGCATCATTGAAAACTCCTACGCATTTTAGAACACAAAAACAACATTCCTAGCAACCTTAGGACATTGTCGTGTGTTTCCTTGTGTCTCCCTTCCTTGCCATGCAAGGAAGGGCTTTATTCCCTATTTTAAATACTTAAACATCCACCACTTATCATTCACCACATATCATTCACCACTTATCATTCACCACTTATCATATCATACATTCATTTATCACTTATCATAATCATTCACTTATCACTTAACATATCATACACTTATCACTTATCACTCATAATCACCTACAACATCCACCTACTTCACCTACAACATCCACCTACTTCACCTACAAATGACATAGCCATATGTTCCCTCCACTACTCCTATAAATACCCTTGCATTCATTCATTCAATTCACATCTCATTTTCATACACAACACACCACAAATACCTCCATTCTTGCCGTGCATATCCCTTCATTTTCTGCATATTTTCTCTTCATTCCAACCACTCCTCATCCCCCAAAAACTCACCTTAGACCTTGTGCTACAACAACGAAGAAGAGAAGAGTGCCTAAACGTTCATACAATTCAAGTTTGAGTTGTTGGAATGTTTAGGTGTTTCTTTGATTTCAATGTTTAAATTCAATTTTCTTTGTTTTGTAATGGAAGAGAAGAGTGCCTAAACGTTCATACAATTCAAGTTTGAGTTGTTGGAATGTTTAGGTGTTTCTTTGATTTCAAAGTTATGAGGAACTAAACCCCCCTTTAGCTAGGGGGTGATTCAAAATACATGTTTATGCTTGCAATATGAATTGATTACTTTTGGTTGGAATTTCATAAGTTGTGGATTCAATTTGTTTAACCGTTTGAATGAATATGACGCTAGAATATAAGTGAGTTTCACCTAATAGTTACGAACTTATATTCACAAGTAGTGGAGGTTGCTTATAAACAATCGCGTTAAACGAATTCTTGGCATAAGTTTCATGCGTATTCCATAGTAACGAATGCCTCGTCAATGTTTATGATTTCCGTTGAACTTAATGATCTTTGTTGAATGTCTCTATCATGCGTATTCCATGGTTAGAGACTTTGATTAAGAATAATTTGGTTGTAATGCGTATTCCATTCAATCCAACGAATCTAGGGAAATCTGAAAGTTAATTTAAGCGGACCTAATTAACTTGGAGCATTGAGTTTCATAATTTATCGAAAGACCAACCGAAAATCAATCTTGTATGCAAGTGTAACATGTGTGGAGAAAAACCCCTTAGCTATTCCATCATCCATATTTTCATCACATTCATCTTTACTATCTGTTTTAAATTATAATCTGTCCGTTTAGTTTAATCTCGTCCAACCACAATTCCCCCCCTATTTTGTTAAGTCTTAATCATTTGATTTGTCTTATTTTATGTTTTTAAGTATTTGGAGTCTTTTGAACTTGTTTTGAGTCTTTTAGCTTGTCTTAGTGTTTTAAAAGTTAGTTTTATTTAATTGAGTCAAGTGTTTAGCATTCCTAGTTAATCCCCGGTTAGAACGATCCCTACTTACATCATTACTACAATTGTCACAAATAGGGTTTAGTTTGTGTGCGTTTAAATCACGCATCAAATATAATTATCCAGTGACCAAATATCTTGATCTGGAGATAAATCCGCACAAATTCACTAATAAGAAAAACCCCTACATGGCTACCATAACACACAACAACCATAAGCTACTGGTGTAGATCCGCCACAATTACGACATACGTAACAAATTTGGCACCAGAGCCACAAAAGCCATCGCAAGAATGAGGCCACAAACGACTCACCTAAGTGATACAATGCAGCCTAATATGCAGCACAAAACAACACAGAGTAAAAAAAAAAAAAAAAAAAAAAAAAAAAAACACTAACTAATCCGAGAATGGAACCATCAACCAGCAAGTCTTCATGGTGAGGACAAAACCACTTCTAGAGAGATTTATAATAGCCATAGGAAGACGAAGCGCCATAGATTAGACTAGGTAAGGCGGCTTGGTCAGGATCGGCAAAGTAGCGCATAACTATCATGGAAAACGAGCAGTAGGATTTGGCTCAGACCCACTACAACCATAAATCCTAACCCAAATCACAACATAAAGCCAAAAATCAGAGGGCATATTGTGGATCTAGGAAGAAACTCCAACAAAAATTGGAGGGTTGTCAGAAAAAAACGATGGGAAAAAGAGGGAGTTGGGTGTCCCGGGTACTAGTGAAAAAGAGGAGATGTACATATGGGGTTAGGCGGAGGCACAAGAGAGATGGGGGGTAGAGGGAAAAAAGGGTCACTGGTCAATGGAGGAGAAGGAGATGCAGTAGAAACGTGTGGGTGCAGGGTGAAATTGAAGAAGGTGATGAGGGGAAGAGAAGAAGGGTGGAATGGGCTGCCGCTGATTCTAAGCCGGAACAAAGAGCCTACGATTGCAGTGAGAAAGCAAGGGTTTGAGTTTGAGGTTCATCAAATTTCGTTTGAACCGCTTGCACTAATAGTTCTTGTAATTTATTGGATTTTCACTTCTGCAGATTTTGTAAGTTTTTTAGTAACATTTTCGTTTTTGTAATTTTTTTTACCAAAATGTTAGTCAAATCTATTAAACAAGGAGAAAACTCCTCCCAAATTGAATTTTCAAATGACAAGATGTGAATTAAAACAGATGAAAGTCGAACTTTGTGGACATATTAAACTAAAGCAAAACAACTAAATGCAACAAAGTACAAAAGGATCGTGAAAGTCAAATTCCAAATAAATTGTTAGCTCGTTTGAAAGTGTTTTTAAAATGACTAAAAACGTTTTTTGTGAATGTTTTTAAAACCAATTCATAGTAAAAATTCAAATGGATCATGAAAAAGTACTTTAACTGCTTCGTGCAAGAA